TTTCATCAGTCCTAACTCATTACCACCATCATTGGTATATACATAAATTCCCAATTCGATACCTCTGCTACCACTTGGTCTCACTCAAATGGTAATTCAACCCAAAACCATACTCCTTCAGAAGTCCCTATTTATTTCCTCTGCACCATATTCAACTCTTTTTCAAATCAACAAATACCTTAAATTCTTAAGATCACCAACCATCTCAAATCTCAACTAAACAATTGAGGCTTCCAAACTCCGACATAAACACGCAACAGCAACCAACTCCAATTACTTGTCAGATAATTCCCTTATGTACTTTAAGTTGCCTTAAAGCATAACCAAAACTCGCTGATGTTGTACTTAACATATCCCCCAATTATATCAACTAAACATCACAAAACACAACAATTTGTTCTGTCGGATTCGGAAAAACCAATACACGAGCTGTTGACAGCTTCCCTAACAATTCCTTAAACTTTCTTCACAGTAGAATATTACTACTTCTTCTCCAACACTGATAACTCAAGTTCCTGATGGTCAACATGATCCTCTATACTCTTCGAGTATATCCAAATATCATCGGTTACCCAACCATTGACTCACTCAATTAAGTATGGAGAATCCCATGCCAAACGGACACTCAATTTGTGAGTCATGGCGAAAATACAAACCGCACTTACTACAACAACCAAACATATTCCATTAATAAATACTTAATTCCATGTCACTACTTCACCATCACATAAAACATTGTAATACTTCCCGCGCTTCTAATCTTGCGTCATTCCGAGTTACGGTTCTCCCGTTACGACAAAAATACGAAAACAACATCTCCACACTTAGAAGGCCATTCAACACATCTTCAACTCTTGAAATGTTTAAAGGTCTAATTATACCAATATAGTATCCCACACCTTACTTCCTTTAATAATCACCAGAAGTCACTATCCATCCTTTATATACTTGACTTCACAATCTGTTGCCACAACACACACACACCAGACACAAGTCTCAAAACTACTCAATCAGTTTAATTCCTTGACTATCCAAATAGACATACAATATAGAGCTCTTAATATCGGACTAGTTCCCGTAACTAAGTCAATCACAACTCCACTTCACGTCCTGGCTGTATATCACTATCTTGTCAGAATAACTTCCAGACAACCACAATTAATCGGCAAACCGCCAACTTCCCACTTTCGTTAACACTCAAAATTTCCATCAAAATGAAACATCTCATCACTGTCCTGCGTCGACTCATCAAAACAATTCTTCAGCACTTGGCTTAACTCCAAACAATTTATTGCTCACACCATCTAAGCTTGCAAGACACGTCTATCCCATCCAACACAATCCCAACTACTATCAACAAGAGATTAAGGGTGATCAGTTCCTCAATTTATCGATAGACAGCCGAAAATCATGATGGGGTATAAACCATCTTTACCAAACTATAAGAGCGTTTAACCACACACTGAGCTACAACTCCACACTTGCAGCATCCTGGAGAAGCACAAGTTTCTCCCCCCACTTAGATCATTCCCACTTCTGTAGACAAAGGTTAGACAACAAACATGTATCGACAGTGTTTTCACACACGTGTCGCATACAAGGGAACAACCAACATTAGACAACTTGGCCGGACGGACCGACCTGCTCTGATACCACTTGTAACGCCCCATATTGCTTTCCAGGATTACCGACTGATTCAATTCTTTTTTTCGAAACAAACACATACTCATACTCACCTAACATATAGCAGTGAATTAGAACCATTAAACACGATTTCTACGACGTCCGATTTTCACTCAAATCTCAAACCCTCAATTATCCAAAAATGTCAAAACTCACAAACTCAACCAAATTCAATCAAACGAATTCCAATAATCACGGCTAAACATTACTCGACTAAACTATGCAATTTATTTTGAATTCTAACCGTTCAAAACTCGATTCTATCGATTTAACTCATTTGCCCTAGAAATAGAAAATAGAGAAAACTACCAACAAATCCAACACAACTCATACATAATCATACACATTGATCAAATAATAATGTTTCTCACCCTTACCTTGATTGGATTGAAGCTTGAAGTTGATTCTTGATGATTTCTCCAAGTTTCCCTCTTCTCTTCTCTTTTCTCCTCTTTCTCTATTCTTTCTCTCCTTTTCTTTCTTTCTTTCTCTTGTGTTTCTATCTCTTTTCTTTCCTCTCCAATTTCCCTTATATATCCTTCTATTTTCTTTCCATCATAATTCTTCTCTAAAAAATACCTATCAATTCATTTCTCACAAAATATCTCATCTTATCATTAATTAGAGAATATCTAATAAATCCACATTATTCTACCAAGTAGAATAAATTAATTAAATCCATTAACTCATTTAAATAAATCCAATAATTTATTTAAATCAGATAAATCACATAAACCAATTAATTAGCATAATTAATCACTTATTGAAAAATTGGGCTGTTACATCTTGTAGTATATATTATTGTTATTCTGAAATACATGTTGATTATTTCATAAACTATGTGTTAGAGGGTAGTTATCAAATTTAACGAGATATAATTTTTAGAAAGAAACATGTCACTAATATTGAATCAACTAATCTAATAAATATATTTTTTGATTGAATATTGATTTTTCGTAAACTATCACTAATATGGAACATGGCGTAAACAAATTTAAAATTATAAACAAAATAAAATTCAAAGTTAAACAATTTTCATATGGAAGATGATTAATTTTTTTAAAGCACTTTGTTTTGGATTTGGTTTGTGGCTGACCCAGCGTCATAGCCCAATTTAAGTCTACATCGAAGACGATCCAGAGTGTTGGTCCAATCCGTTAAGAACAGTAGAGAGCACGTTTCCCACGTGCCCCTTACCCAAGGACACGTTACCAATTGACCCGCACGCCTCGTAGAATCATTTTGTCCTTTGTAACGGACAAGTTCATCCACTAACCGAGAAATGCAGAGCGGTTGATCTAGAACGATGAGCACGAATTGCTCATCCTTACCTCCACGTAGGAATCATGTCAGTCATCCATGGTGGACTTGAACACTCAGCCCATAACGAAGACCATTGGCACAGCGCTGAGGGCTCACTATAAAAAATCTCTTCTAGATGAGGGTTAAGGTATGATATTCTTTACACTTTCTTACTCACATCTTCTCCAAACTGACTTAAGTATCATAGTGTTTGCATGTACATGCCCCTTACCATCGACCGTTCAAAATCGCAGACGTGTTGTTGACCGCTCGTTTATTCTGATTGACATGTTAGATCATATTTTAATATTGACTCATGCAACAATTAAAAAATATTCTATTAACTCAAATACTTTTATAAATGATGTCAAAAAACAGAAAAATAATCTATGGTTAATCTAAATATTTTTATAAACGATGTCATTTTTATTATATAAAAATAAAAGTGTTTGTCGTTGAATAAAATAATATTTACTTACGGACAAAAAAATACGATGTTGATTCAAATATTTTTATATAGATTCAAATATATAAATAATGTCAAAACAAACTTAATATTTATATACGAGACCAAATACGTTGTTGATTAATTTATTTATATATACGAAAAAAATATCATTGTTATAAACAGGAACAACTTTAATTGTTTTAAATAGTGAATAAGATGAATGTATTGATTATTTTTTCAAATATATGAAAGATTAATGAAAAAAAATAGTATTGTTATAAAAGGGAACAACTTTATTAAAACACGAAATTAAAACAATTATAACAAATATGAAGTTATTGATCAAAATATTGAATAATAATGAAAAAAAAATTATTATTTGTTCTAATATTTTTTATAAATAATGTCAAAACAAAAATAATATTTATATAAGAAAATAATATATTGTTGATCCAAATATTTTTACATATGAAATGAATTATAGACACTAATTTTTTATATCTTTTAAAAAAATAACTTTTTTGGTTAAAATTTAATTTTTTTAATATCACTTTTATTATATTTTTTAAAAAAATAAACCAGTATCCGTGTTCTGGTATAAAAAATGATAGCACATGGAGATTTTGTGTCAACTATGGTGTTTTAAACAAGGCTGCTATAGCAGACAAGTATCCACTAGATGTGATTGAGGAAGTATTAGATGATTTTCCGAAGTGGATTTGAAATTTGGATACCACTAAATCAGGGTCACTACGGTCACTACGGTCACTACGAGTTCTGCATAACGCCTTGAATTGAACACTCTTTTATAACCCTAGCCACTTATTTTTATGATAGGAGTTAGAAGGAACATTTATCATATTTGGTAACACAATTTAGAACACTTAAATCAAGAGAAGGAATATGAATAGAACCCAAAAGGATTAGTTGTATTATTATGGAGTGGCCAATACCCAAATCTGGAAAGGCATCAGAGAGTTTTCTAGGTCGTTGTTAAAGAAGGAATGTTAGAAAGAGGTGATGCCTAATTTGTCATAGAATGTTTTAACTCAAGACCAAAAACCTATTGCCTAATTTAGCAAAGCATTGACCCTTAAGATTATGGAAACTTAACATTGGTGTACTTATCTACTAGAAACAAATGATTGCAACGTAGAATCAACAAAATTGGTTGTTGGCAAAACAATTAGAGCATGAGTTTGAGATTTTTTACAAACAAGTGTCGTTAAGGAGGGATGGGGAAGTTATTTTGGAAATATGAATGTTTCTAGTGTATACTGATATGGCAGCACGGTACAATCAATCTAGTTGTTGAAAAAGACCGACTAATTGTACCACAAAAATAATACAAAAAACTTAAAGACTATTTTGTTAATCATTCTAGGGTAAAACATTAATCTTGAGAAGTGAGTGGTGAATAAGAACTAAAAGGAACCATAAATTACGACTAATTTTACGTAAGCAGCATAAAGTAGGATACAAAATTTATGCCGCAAGAAATCGTTAGTCTAAACTAATTTCTATATCTCATCGCTGCCACTTTCATATCCGCCTATCAGTCATTGAACTATTGTGACACATTTTCTTGGCATGACGGTGGAGCACAGCAGGAAGAAATGTCGATTCCAGCCACTTCCATAGCATTGCAGACCCACTCAGGAACATTACCTTTTGGGAACTGCAGTAAGAGGATCAAAGTAAGAAGATCAAAGCTACCCACAAATATCTCAATAGAATGTAAACTTCGGTCGTGTTTATATAAATAAATAATGGTTTTTAAATATGAAAAAAAATAATAAAAAATAAAAGTTTAATTGTTATGCACGACGGTGTAAAAATGTTTTACACTGAATAAGAATATGTCATTCTACCATATCATATAATTAGTTTAAAATTTTCGGTATGATTTGACGGAATACATGGTTGTCATTGGTCGACAGTTTACACGGTTAATGCATCACCCATTTTTGCAAAAGTAATAATATCAAAATTTTTTTACAAAAATGACACCCCGTCCTGAGTTTAAAAGAATTTATCAAGCAAAATTGAAAATGCCGGAAAAGAAGTATATACATAGCATCTACCACTCCAGCTATATTAAAAAAACATGTCATTAAACCCCAATTTGATGAGATTGGCTGGAATCATTCTTGTTTTATCTAATTATAAAATTATTAACGGTTAGAAATAGAAAAAATACATTCCATGTTTTCCGCTAAAATTAGCATTTAAGTCTTAGATTCATGTATATTTAGATTCATATGTTTAGGAAGTTGGACTATTATTTATTTCCTCTTGTAAACATAATATGTAAATAATTATATAATGTCTATAAATATCATAGTTACTGAGTGTTTTACTCACTCAAGCATATTCAGTGAATTTTTTATTTCTATTTTTCACATGACATCAGAGCTCCTAATTTAGGGGACTCTACTTCTGCTAATCAATATTTAGAGATCTGACTGAGCATTTTTATGCTGTTAGAATCCTTAAATCTTGACTGGGCAACACTTGTTGTCAAGTTTTTTTCAATTAAATACTGTTTGTTCTTTCTACCAGCCATTTGCATAATTTCGTACTTCTTCCGGTAGTTGAAAGTCCAGCCACTGTCTCTACACTTTATGTAAGTCGTTCGTACAGTTTTCTGCTACCGTCGGTACAACTCTGCACATTTTTCAACAGCCGTTTGCACAATACCAGACGTTGTCCCTACATTTTCTAGATTGATTTTTTTTATAGAATCTTGTTTTCTTTGATATCTTATACATAAATATTTGGTGGTTGCTTTTGTTTCTTTTATGACCGATATTATAGAAAAGTCATCAGGTAATTGCAGTGTGGCGTATTCTGATAAGCTTCCACTCTCGTTTGGATTTCATGTCTCAGAAACACCTTCTTGCTTATTTTGGATATTAGATTCAGCAGCCACAAACTACATGAGACCCTCTTCGAAACAATTCTCCACATGTTCTCCTTGTCCCAGTAATAAAAAAAATTCTACTCCAGACGGTACTCTTGTAATTGTAGTTGGTATTGGAGATATCCAAATAAATCATTCTATAACCCTAAAAAGTGTCCTCCATGTTGCAAAACTATCCACGAACCTAGTCTCCATACAAAAACTTACAAACAATTTATCATGTAATGTGACTTTTCATAATGATTGTTGTATATTTCAGGATAAGGAGTCGGGAAAGACAGTTGGACGTGCTAGATAAAGGAATGATCTTTACTATCTTGAAGAATCAGGTCAGTGTACAAAAGTTCACTTGTCACACTCATTTATGTCAGAGTCAGTACTCTCCAAAAAGGAAAGAATATTTCTTTTTCATTGTCGATTAGGTCATCCTTCTTTTAGAGTCATTAAAGTTTTGTTTCCATCTTTATTCAATAAGATAGATATTGAAAGTCTTCATTGTGATGTGTGTGAGGTTGCTAAACATAAGCATTTACCTTTTCCATTAAACAACAAAAGAAGTCTTTACCCCTTCTATCTTATTCATTCAGATGTTTGGGGTCCCTCTACCAATCCAAATGTAACAGGTGTTAGGTGATTTGTTACTTTTATAGACGATTGTGCTCGAGTTACTTGGGTATTTTTACTCCAAAACAAGTCTAGCGTCAATACTGTTTTTTTAAAGTTTTTCTATATGATTAAAAATCAATTTGGAGTAAACATCAAAAGGCTTAGGTCTGATAACGGAAAACAGTACTTCAATCATGTTCTTACTTCTTTCTATCAAAAAGAGGGAATTGTCGATGAGTCTTCTTGTCTTAAAACACCACAACAAAATGAAATTGGAGAAAGAAAATATGGGCATCTATTAGACCAAACCCGATCACTGTTGTTTCATCAAAATGTTCCAAAATATTTAATGGGGGAGACCGTTCTCACTAGCACATATCTTATCTTATTAATCGATTATCTTCTAGAGTATTAGGGTTCAAGAGTCCTATGGATGTTTTTTCTTCCTTCTATCAAAATTTGTTAGTAAGCAGTAATCTTAAACCTAGAATCTTTGGGTGTGTCTCATTTGTCCATGTGCATAGTCAAGACAGAAAAGAAAAAAAAACTCGACCCTAGAGCCCTAAGATGTGTTTTTGTCGGATATTCCTCTACTCAAAAGGGATATAAGTGTTTCCATCCTCCATATAAAAAGTATTTTATGTCGCGGGATGTTACCTTTCATGAGGAGGAACCATACTTCACTCAACCTTATCTTCAAGGGGAGAACTTTAAGGAAGATAAGCTTGAAAGTCTTAATCTTTCTTGTCTTGAGTCAAATACACTCAATTTGTCTAATATTAAGTCAAATGCATCTGATCATTCTGGTCATGACTCAACTACACTCGATCTCTCATTCTGGTCATGACTCAAACACACTCAATCTCTCTGGTCTAGAGTCAAATCCACCTAATTCTTCTAGTTTCAAGTCAAATAGGCATAATCTTTATGGTCTTGAGTTAAACACACTTGTATTAAACCCATCTGAGGCGGAAGAAGTGAGAGTTGAGTCAAATCAATCAAGTACACCAGTAGCTGGACTTGGACCTGAAGTGGATGTAAGATATGGAAAGAATCTGGTTTACATGAGAAAGTCAAATGTCATTCCTGAATCGACACAAGTTCAAGAGTCTGACTCGACTCCTTCAAATGAGGTAATTAATTCTTCTGAATTAAAAGATAAAATGATGACCTAGAACTTCCAATTGCTATTAGAAAAGGTACCAAAAAATGCACCATACAACATTTATATCCCCTTTCAAACTATCTTTCTTTTCAAAAATTCATACCTACCCATAGAGCCTTCCATACAAACCTAAACGCTACTTCCATATCCACTAATGTTTCTGAGGCATTGTCTGATGAAAATTGGAAGCAAGCCATGAATATCGAGATGGACGCATTAAAGAGGAATGGAACTTGGGAGTTAGGGACTTTACCAGAAGGAAAAAGGCCAATTAATAAAGTTTTGATATTCAAGGAGAAATGATTTGTATTGATTAATTCTCAACTGAATTGATACAATGAGTATGCTATATATAGACAGCTAGCATAACATAAATAGTACAGCTCAGCATAACTAACTTTAACAGTTAGCTATGACTGATAACTGATTTTAGCCTAAATGTTGTCAGGTCAGCATTACTTAAACTATTCTAATCTATTGCTTATACTATAATATTTTACCTTCAAATGCTACTACTCTGAGAAAGAGTCATTTGCATCCTTGAAGAGATGATTTGTCAACAACCTTCAAGTGATCTTTGAGAGTGAAAAATCTGAGAGCTGAGAGAGGTTTAGTCGAAATGTCTGTTGTTTGTGAAACAGCTGAAATGTGTTTGACTACCAATGTGTGGTTAAGAACCTTTTCCCTTAGGAAGAAGATATCCAATTCCATATGCTTAATTTTGGCATGCAGGACAGGATTATGTGAGAGAGCAATAGTGGTTAAGTTGTCACTAGGGCTGGAAATGAGTCGAGTCGAGTCGAACTCACCTCAGCTCGGCTCGACTCGTTAAGAATTGTTCGAATTCGAGTTCGAGTTCGAGTTCGACACGAACTTTTTTTTAAGCTCAAACTCGACTCGTTATAAGTTCACGAACAGTTCGATTCGACTCGTTAGGTTCATCTCATTAGGTTCAGCTCACATGGTTCACGAACTTAAAAACTATTTTTTAAAATATATATATTTTTTAGTATATTTGACATTTTAAATAAATATATATTTTTTAAATAAAATATTAAAATAAAATAAAAGTTATCATATTGATATTTAACTTTATCTTCGAAATCTACTAATTCAAAACCTACACAACTTTCAAGAGATACATTTGAGAGTCTAACTCAAAAACTACTAAATTGAAGATTAAATTTGTCTAAGATTTGAAGTAAATATTTAAACCTAATCTTAAAGACAGTATAATTCTTTTCATATGTAATCGAGTTGACTCATGAACCTAACGAGTCGAACTATGTATAGTTCAAGTTCAGCTCATTTAGTTAACGAACTTAATTTTTCGCTCATACTCAACTCATTTGGTTCATGAACCTAGTTCAACGATTTAATTGTCGAGTCGAATTCCGAACTATCTTCGAGTTGGTTTGGTTCATTGCCAGCCCTAGTTGTCACAAAGCAGAAGAGGAGTTTGAGAGGGTGTCTGAAGTTCTGCTAGCAAAGACTTAATCCACATCCACAGAACCTCTGCAACAGTGCTGACTAAACTTCTGTATTCTGCTTCAGTGTTGGATCTGGCTACTAGAGTTTGTTTCTTAGACCACCATGAGACCAAATTAGAACCAATGAAGATGCAAGACCCTGATGTAGATTTCCTATCATTAGGGTCAGAGCCTCAATCATCATCAGAATAGGTTATGATGGAAATAGAAGGAGAGGAAGTACAAGGTGACATGTGCAGACCCTGATGAAGTGTGCCTCTGAAATACCTGAGTATTCTCTTTACTGTCACCCAGTGCCTTTGCATTGGTTGAGACAAAAACTAACAGGCTTTGTTGACAGCAAAGTTGATTTCTGGCCTGGTAATTGTTGCATATTGTAAAGCCCCTACTACAGATCTGTAGAAAGTAGGGTCTTGGAGGTAATCTGACCCTTCTTTAGTCAGTTTAAGATTTGAAACCATAGGGGTGGGCAAGCTCTTTGCTTCACTCATGTT